GCACTCGACGATCTTTTGGCTAAAGATGAGTAGGAGTTCAAAGATTGTCTGCTATAAAGCTGGCGATATTTCTTTCAGTAATAAATAAGAAATCGTATAATAATTAACACGTATAATTAATTATTTAATTATTATTTCGATAACTCGCACACTGTTACATTATCTTAAATTTGACATATTAATTAATATCGATCTTCGAAATTTTATCTAATGGTGACTGACGGTCATCTCTCAAGTGCAAAGGATTAATACCATTTCAAAAAGTATCCTCATCTTTACAACTAAAAATCTTCCAATTCTTATTTTCCTATACCGAAAAAATTTGCAAAAATTTCCCAAAATATTTTTAAAAACCGCTTCTACGCGAACACACCCCCTAGACCGATGGTTCAAGCGCAGATTCCTTGTTGGTGGAGGGTAAATTGATATCGGAACTTAAACTCGAACTCTAACACAGGCACACTGGAAGGATCGACCTCGAGACGAAGCCGCGATGCGTATCGGGAAAAATACGCCGGTGTATCCGTATACAGGGCGATAGCGATCGAGGGTGGAAAAAAAAAAAAAAAATAAAAGCGAATCATATTAAGGACGATCACGCGAATAGCGCGTGCCCCGTGAGAAAGCAGAACGCGATGATCCAGCGATTTTTCTTACCACCTCGAGGACGTTACACAGCCATCACGCATCCGATATCTCGCGATAAGGGACGGGAACGAGAGAAAAAAGAGGAAAAAAAATCGGAAAAAGTAGAAAAAAAAAACGTGCATTGTGAAAATCTGTTTTCCCCAACACTTATTAATATCGCGGAAAACTAATTGGAATTCGAAAAGTGGGTCTCGAGCTCGTTATTTTTACTTCTTTCACCCCTTCTTCCTCTCCCTTTCCCTTTTTCTCTCCCGTTTGATCGTCGCTGGAAATTAATATCGAGATTTCTCCGGGCGTCTTTCTTCCGTGGCGAAATCTCGCGTAATTTCAATTTAATTAGAGAGAAAGCGCGAGTTTGTTCTTTCAACGCGGACGGAGAGACAGAGAGAGAGAAGGAGAGAGAGAGAGAGAGAGAGGGAGAGTGAGAGAGAGAGAGAGAAAAGTGGTTTGAGCAGCAGGATGGATCGATTTTAATTCGCGTTTTCGTTGATACGTTTAAATCGGGTCTCGCGGCACGTAGGTATGCGTGTCAGTGCACTCGTGACCCATCTCGTTCTTCGATGACGTCATTGCTCGCTGGCGTAAACCTATGACGAATATGGCGGGCTCGGGAAACGGGAGTGGCAGGGATCTTTTAACCGGCACTCCACGGCGAAACGTCATCGCGAGGGGTGGTAGCGGAGCTTGGCGAATTTACATCGCCTCGTCGATCGTTTGATCGCCCCGCGGACAGCCGGCCAGTTCACCCCACGACTGCAAATTAATCGCGAATTTCACGCCGACTGACCGGGCACGGCGTCCGGGAGATCGGAATTTCCCGGGTAACCGGTTTCCAGAAATCGCGCCAATCTTCACAGAAAAAAGGGCTTCCGGGGACCGCGAGAGTACTCACGGGGATGAAAGATTCGTTGATAAGCGATTTCGAGGCACTGCGCGAATTTTCGCGAGGACTCGAGATTCGCGAAGATGAGAGCTTCGCGAGTATCCGATTTCGAGACACTGCGAATTTTCGCGATAACTAGAGCTCGGTGAGAAACCGATTTCCAGGAATTGCGCGAATATTCGTGAAAATGAGAATTTTGTGAATAACTGTGCGAATTTTCGCAAGGATTAGAGATTCGCGGATTACTTTACGAATTTTCGCGAAAACAAGAGTTTCGTGAGTATCCGATTTCCAGGAATTGCACGACAATTGGCGAGGATTAGAATTTCGCAGGTAACTGTGCGAATCTTCACGAAGAAGTGAATTTTGTGAATAACTGTGCGAATTTTCGCGAAGACGAGAGCTTCGCGAGTATCCGATTTCGAGACAGTGCGAATTTTCGCGGAAACTAGAGTTTCGCGAGAAAACGATTTCCACGAATCGCACAAATATTCGCAAAGATTAGAATTTCGCGGATAATTGTGCGAATCTTTGCGAAGATGAGAATATGACGATTAACTGTGTGAATTCTCGCGAAGACGAGAGTTTCGTGAGTAACCGATTTCCAGGAATCGCTCGAATATTTGCGAAGATTAGAATTTCTCGGATAACTGTGCGAATCTTCGCGAAGATGAGAATTTCGCGAATAACTATGTAAATTTCCGCGAAGACGAGATCTTCGCGAATAACCAATTCCGAGACACTGCGCGAATTTTCGCGAAAATCAGAGTTTCGCGAGTAATTGATTTTGAGAAATCACAGAATCTTCGCGAAAATCAGAATTTCGCGGATAACTGTGCGAATTTTCGCAAAAATGAAGATTTCGCGGATAATTATGCAAATCTTCGCGAAAGTCAGAGGTTTGCAACTAACCGATTTTGAGAAATCACAGAATCTTCGCGCAGACGAGAATATCACAGATAACTTTGCGAATCTTCATGAAAACGAGAAATTCGCGAGAAACTGTTCGAATTTCCGCAAAGATGAGTATTTTCCCAGATAATTGCGCGAATTTTCGCGAGAACCAGAGTTTTGTTAATAACCAATTTTGAGAAATCACGAAATCTTCGCGAAGACGAAAATTTCATGGATAATAGTGCAAATCTTCGCGAAGACGAGAAATTCGCGAGAAACTGTTAGAATTTCCGCAAAGACGAGAATTTCGCGTATAACTATGCAAATCTTCGCGAAAATCAGAGTTTCACGAGCATTCGATTTCGAGAAATCACAGGATCTTTGCGAAAATGAGAATTTTGCGGATAATTGTGCGAATCTTCCCGAAAATGAGGAATTCGTGAGAAACTGTTCGAATTTCCGCAGAGATGAGTATTTTCCCAAATAATTACGCGAATCTTCACGAAAACCAAAGTTTCGCGAGCATCCGATTTTGAGAAATCAGAAAATCATTGCAAAAACAAGAATTTCGCGGATAATTGTGCGAATCTTCACGAAAACGAGAAATTCGCGAGAAACTGTGCGAATTTCCGCAAAGATGAGACTTTCGCGTATAACTATACAAATCTTCGCGAAAATCAGAATTTCGCAGATAACCAATTTTGAGAAATCACAGAATCTTCGCAAAGACAAGAATTTCGCGAATAATTTTGCGAAATTTCGCAAAAACCAGAATTTCATTAGCAAACGATTTCGGAACATCGCAGAATCTCCGCGAAAACGAGACTTTCTCGAGTGACGGATTTCCAAGAACCGTCTAACCCTTGCTAACCCCAGAATTTCGCAGAACCGCGCGAATCTTCGCGAAATCTCCTGCAAATCTATGGTCCGGGACAGAATCGTGGTATTTTTTTCCAGTAGAGCAGCCATTCGTCATCGAATCCAGCCATTTTTCCAACTTCCCTCCCTCCACACCCGCATCAAGCTACCCCCGTGGAATCGGACCAGCGACAGCGGTCCATCCGCGAAATCCATCGTGACGTTTCGACGATAACGCGATGCATAGATAGGTAATTAATCACGTCGATTAATCGATCGGATCTCGATTCAGTCTCCGTATACGCAAATATGCGGATCGTCGTATCGTGACATGTTTATGACGCTTGGCCAGCCGGTGATGCAGACTTAATTATACATAATAGCGCGACCGAACGTCGCCACTCGTCGACAAAAATTAATCACGCTGGTGGTCGATCAAGGGGATGATATTCGGATCGAACCCCCAGGGTACTTCGATTTTCCCCATACCGTCCGCCGACTTTTCCATCCGGACAATGTTATTTATTTATCACAGAACCAGGGAGGGGGAGGGCGTGCAGCTCGCGTGTACACTCCTCGTATGCGATCTCGCGTGAACGCGTCCCGACCATGCATCATCGGCGAAAATCGATACGCGATAACGGAGCAATAATGTCTCTGCGAAACATATAACATTAGCCTGTGGTTTTACGCACAGTGGCGAATCGCGACATGCAGAATACGCCGAGTAAACGCGATCTGCGTCGCGAATATCGCAGCCCCGGCGCGGAAACCGATGGTTACGTATCACGCCCTGTCCACTCTATTTTATCCTCCAATTCCGATCCCTCGATCCGTCAACGAAATTCGCATCTCGACCAACCAAGCGCTATGCTGCTCGCACCCGAGGACCGCTCTGTGACTGACGCAGCGCGACTTACCGATCCTCCAGGCGAGCAAACACACGTCAAAATTCGCGGTCACTCTCGGAATCACGAGATCTTCGATCACGTTCGCGTAGGTAAACTTCTCGCGTGAGTCGAGGAGAATCCGTGATTGGAGAAACGAGAGAAAACAGCGGCCTCGAGGACACACTCTCGCCGGTGTAACACTCGCGGAAGGTTGGTGTCATGCAGCACGCGTTGGAGGGAAATGGTTCGCAGGCTGAACGCACGCCGTGTGTGCAGCCTTTTATCCTTGTGTATCGGCCTACACCGGGGAAGAAAAGAGAGAATGGGTTGGCGGTTCGGGGCCGGATAACAATCGCGGTGCCGAAAATTCGCGGAGGTCTGCAACAGGCAATCGTGTGTAACACGCCATGCCAGCCTGCGAACGATTAACGACCGCGTCCGTGCAGAATTTACGAGAACGAGCAGAGAACGAGAAAAGATCGGGCAGAGAGACGAAAAGACTAGCGAGGGTGGCGGCTGGGACGGGTAACGACGACGAACGAAATTACAGGATCGCGTGCCAGCAAGCATAAATCACTCGGGCAGAGTGCGGAAGGTGTAAGGAGAAATCGCTGATGGGGCATTGGACGGATATGCTGTGGTGATCGGGATGAGATTTATCTACGGAGAGGAGAGAGTGGGATGGCGAAGAGAGACGCAGAGTCGTGACAGGCAAATAGACAAGCAGGTAGAGACAGGTAGGGAGAGCAAACTGGTAGACAAACAGGAGGATAGGTTGGCAGGCAGGCAAGAGCAAGCAAGCAGGCAGGCAAATAGGCAGGCGTTACCTCGCTTGGACGTGCTGTCGGCGCTGCTAATAAATCCAGGTACGGCAATCACGAGAACAAAGAGTCCACAGTGTAGCCAAAACATGTTTACGTCTTAACAACATTGTTTAATTCCATTTTACATGACGCTCGTAAAACACTACGATGACGGTGGTGCTCATGTCGCGCATAATCAGCGATACTACCTGGTCGCCGGTCGGATCATGAGTACACGACTGACTGACTGGGTTACGCGGTTCGGGTAGGAGCGTAGAAGCGAGCGAAAAGCGAGAACCGAGGGCCGTGAGTGGTGTATAGAGGCGCAACCAAAAAGAGAATAGAAAGGAGAGCCGGAGGGAGACGAAGGAGCAGAAGAAGCGACGGGTGAAGCGAAAGATTCGCGGAAACAACGGGGAGCTGAGATCGAACTGGGGAGAGAGAGTACACAGAAGGTCCAGGTGGAGGATGATCCAGGTGGAGAAAAGAAGAGAGAGATAGCTGTAGACAGTGAGACAGGCAGAGAGAGAGAGAGAGAGAGAGAGAGAGAGAGAGAGAGAGAGGAGAGAGGTAGAAAGACAGAGACAAAGACGAAGATACCAGAGGCAGAACGAAAGACAGTCCCGGAAGAGTGTCAGAGAGAGGGAGAGAGCAAAAGAGAGGGAGTCGCAGAACGAAAGAGAGAATTCGTAGAGAGGAGAGGAGAGTATAGAGAAGGCTCGCGGCGATAGGAGGACAAACCGGCACCGACGGTATACAACGACGGGTCCTCCTAGAACATCGCGAATCTCCTGGTACACTGGACGACACGCGATAATGCACCACGCTAGCGCACTACTTCCGCGATCTGGTCCGTACGTCGAAGGATACCCCCTACTCGCGCGCGCCCAGAGAGAGTGAAGGTCCCGGTCTCGAATCACGCCTCGGCTGCCATCTTCTACCTACGCCGGGAGTCTGGAGTATGAAAATATTCTCTGCTGCCTCCTCCTGCCCGCCACCCCTCTCCTCGCTCCCCACCACGCACCCCACCCCGAGGAGCTTTCCACCTACCCTCTCTACCACCGGCCTTCTACACCCGCTTCGTTCACCCGCGCCGTACACCCGCGCAGAGCCACCACCAGCTTGGGACCACCTCTTATCGATTCCTGCGCCATTTCCCGTCATTCCTGTCAAATCAATAACGCGGTGGCGGCAGCGCCGGTGGTGCTGCTCCGCCGGTGGTGGTTCTGCCGGTGGTGGTGCTGCCGGTCCTAGTGGTGCTGATCCAGGTGGTGGTGGAGCCGGTGCCGGTGCCGGTGTCGGGTGCCGGTGCCGTGCCGGTGCCGGTGGCGGTAACGGTGGCGGTGGCGGCCACCACGGCGACTCCTTCTTCGCCACGGATCAGGCGCCGATACAGAGATGCGAAATCCGACCGACCGTTCGCTCCCGGCCCACCATTTTCCACCGCGACGATCACGAACCACCGTTATTCCAGAGGTGGGACACTGCCCGCCTGACCTGCATCCCTCGGATCCCTGCATCCCTGCCGGGCCGGACCTCGGCGTTCGCGTTCGCGTTCGCGTTTACGTTCGCGTTTGCGTTCCCCGGCCGTTGGCCTCTCTTCCACGCGTTTCGCGTCCCGGTCACGCCACCGTTTCTTCCCATTTTCACTTCGAATCTCACGCCTTTTGCGAATCACGCCTTTCGAGTCTTTTAGTTTCGGCCGTCTCTGTGGCCGCGTATCGATTTTGGAAGAGAGGGAAAAGGGTGCTTCGGTTCGGACAAAGGTCTGAGGACTGGTCGAGATCGCGGAGAGGAAGGTCTTTGCTGGAGACTCGAAGGGTAGAGCGGCTTATTCAGGCCTTTTACGTGCACACACACGGCCGGCATACAAGATCGAGTGCCTATTCAGCCAGCTTCGCTAACGAAATTTTCCTAGCTTCTTACCTGTTAGTTTCTCGCGGGTGCAGCTCTCGCTGACTTTGGGCCTGCGCTATGTCTCCACCCTAAATTTACGCGTCGTGACAGGGCTGCTTGGCATCCGGGTCGACTTCCCGATTCGTGTTATTTAAAACGCTCGACCTTGCCGCGACCTGGCAATTTATTTCGCCATCGCGGGTCCGTGGCTGGCGCGAATTACGCGAAACAGGCCGCGAGCAGGGCAATCGACGCTTTAAATACACCGACGCGGAACACGCCGCGACGGGCCAATTAACTGAAATATAACTTTTCGAATCTTCAAAAGCACCGGCGCTTTCTTGGCTCGCGAGCCTGGAAAACAAATTTTCTCGTCCAACGCCGGTCGAAACTTCTGAAACGAGGTCTCGCTGTACACCTTCGCGGAAAGTGCGTACGATAATTGGCCCGATATTCTTCCAACGCGAAAACAAATTTAATCAAAGGTCTACCTTTTCTATCGAATTACCTTCCGCTCACTTTTCAACCAAGCCTGCATTTCCTTTTCGATTAGGTACCTCAGAAGTGGACACGTTCTTGGCGTATTTTGGGTAGGAGAATTTCACGTGGGCTGTGGGATATGAGTGCTAACGTATCTTGCATCTATACAAAATTAAGATAGGGAAATACTAATTGATTTTCCTTTGCAACTTATTTTGATAGTAACCAAAGAAAGAAAATTCTCGATATTTGTTCAACAATTTACTCCGATAGAGTTTATGTCAAGGTTATGGTGTAGAGAATCTTCAAATTTGGAAAGAAGTGAGTAGAATAGTGATTTAGAAAGAATACGTAATAATTTCAGGTAAATTTTGGGGGGAGAAAGTAAAAATTCATTTTGGTTATGTAACAATTCTAATAATTTGTTGCTTTCCTCTTTTAATTCTAATAGAGACGTCGTAAGACGACTTACTCTTGTGTTGGAAACATTTTTCTAGGAGCTTTATAGTTGTTTTTCATCTCTTTCCTATTTTAGATATTGTATAAACAATGTGACACATATAGTGATAAGAAAATTCCAAGATTATATCAGTGAAATTAAAAAAGAATTCAACGATATACGCGATATTTACGATTACTGCAGTTGTGAGCCATGGTGGCGCTAGTGAGTTAATGGAAAACGATCTTAAGGCTGCCGAAACGCTTACCCATGAGAGGGTTAATATTGTTAAAAATATACTGCAGTTTTTAACAATATTAATATTCCTCTTTTATTGTAAAAAACATAAATTTGGAATAATCGGAAACCTAATTATTTCCATTATGAAATTACTAATATTGTCAAAAATGCCAAGATACTAATATTGTCAAGAATATATTGGAGCTTTTAGCAATATTAATATTCCTCTCTTTTCATAAGAAACGTAAAAATTTCAAATACTCAAAAACCTAATTATTTCCATTATGAAGTTACTAAAATTGTCAAAGATACCAAGATACTAATATTATCAAGAATATGCTACTGCTTTTAGCAATGTTAATATTACCTTCTTTTTCTTCTTTTCGTTATAAAAAGACATAAAAATTTGAAATAATCAGAAACCTAATTATTTGCATTATGTAGCTTTACTTATTATTATTATCCATGTGTACGATATTTAGGCACACATTACGAGTCGGTAGTTCTACCTTTAATAAAATAAGTCACGGCACCGACACGGGGGAGGCGTGCAACTTTGGTCATTTTCCTCTATGTAGTAAGTGGAAATAAAGTGTTATTCTGTGTTACAGAAAATATATGTGTATATACACTTTTAGCGAGTGATCAGGTATTAGGCATTTAAAGACGTATATATACAGGTATACCCTATCCAATACCGCACTCTTACATCACGGACTCAATCTATCACGGTTCGAGAAGTGGAGTAAAAGACACGTAATGGGAATTTTTAAGTGCAAGCATTCGTCACTCGATATTTTTTATTGGGGCAAGCTGGTACAATGTTTCGGATTTGCGTTTGAAATTTTAGAATATTGAAATTTGAAATTCACTTTTAGTTCGCGCAGTATTAACCCTTTGCACTCGAAAGTTTCCTCGCTACAGGGAAGGCAACTCGAAGCTTTCCTGGTTAAAAGTCGACAACATTTTTTGCGACTAACATAAATGGAAATCGTTGAGAAATTAACGAATAGAACTACTTTATTTCGATATTTCGCGTATTATGAATCGTATTGTGGAACGACTTATTATCGAATATCCAACTTTGTAATTTGATTAATATTTTGGAAAATATTATTCGATAATAGTTTGTTCGAATTAATCTTTCTTGATTATGGAGAGAAAATACTATAATATATACTAATATTCGTATTATTCGAGTATAATGGAGAATAACGTTATTGTCATTATACAGTATGTATAATATACTATATGATATGTATTGGATATTATTACATGTAACAGATAATATTATTACTGGGTATAGTAATATAATATTACTGTTATAGTATAACTATCGTATTACTATTTAATTTAATCGATATTACATAGGAAATATCCGTGTAATGTACTGCTTGAAATTATCGAATATTTTATTCTTCCATTATTTTAGGTTCATTTATGGGATTTTAGAATACGTAAATTATAATAATTACATTTATTAATAGTAATACAATATTATTATAAAATAATATCATTGTATATATTATAGTTACTGTTAATATCGATACTATTAATATTAGTATTATGGTAACTACCATATCATTATTTAATCTAATGCAAATTAGGTTGATATTGAATATCATTGCAATCATATTTATTAATAATAATAATATATTAATTATTTATATTAATTATATTATTATTATTATTAACAAATAGCGTATATTATATTGGATTATATAAATGATATATAATGTATCCATCATATTTATTAATAATAATAATATATTAATTATTTATATTAGTTATATTCTTCTTATTATTATTAATAAATATCCTATATTACATTGGATTATATAAATGATATATAATATATCAGGTAACGAAATAAATAATGTTCTCACAAATTTTATTCCTATTTCAAAAAGCAACTTTGTTTATTTACTTACCTAACATATAACAAAATAATATAATTATTATGCAATATTCCTTTTATAATTCCTATTACACTAACTACTATATCATTATTTAAATAATGTTCTCACAAATGTTATTTCTATTTTAAGAGGCAACAATATGTATTTACTCACCTAATATATAACAGAACAATATAACTATTATAATTTCTATTATACTAACTACCGTAGCATTATGTAAGTAATGTTCTTATAAATTTTATTTCTATTCTTATCTTCATTTCTATTTCAAAAAGCGACATTATTTATTTACTTATCTAACATATAACAAAACAATATAACTATTACGCAATATTCCTATTATAATTCCTATTGCACTAACTGTTTAATCTAATATACATGCGACACCAACAAATTCTTCGTACCCAGAAAAATAATATACCGAAACAGCATCGTGTTGATTGCCGCAATTCGCGGCTTCGCCGAGCTATTTATCACTCGCCCACCCGTTTCTAACAACTTTTCCGCCTTTGTTACCACGAGTTCAAGCAACACGCTGACATTGTGTATCCCAAGGA